CTCTTTCTTTGTTCTGAACTTGGGTAACTGAGAACCCCCAACAATGAGGGGCTTGGTGCATTAAATATAAAAAGACACTCTTCAGTAATGTGTTGTGTAATGTATTGTGCAGTGTTAATTGTGTTATACGAAAATCAAAACTATTAAAAATCTGTTTCCCTTTTTAAAAATTCTGCTTCATTTCCCCCTTCCTTCCCCTGCAACTGCTGTCATGCACAAGAATTAGTTTCCTTAATAGAAGACACATTTTAGGACCTAAAGAGTTTAACCTTATATGCTTTTATTACCAAAATCCAATAGAACAAACACTTATAAAGACATACAAGTTGCTTTCTCTGTGTGTTCATGTTTAGAGATGAAGGAACATAAAAAATGTGGAAAACATAGTTCTCTAACATCGCTACAAGCAAGTGACACCGATGACAACTGCAAATTGGAGAAGTTAGTGGAGGTGGAAAGACCTGAATCATCAACATCAGAGCAGAAAATCCCTTATAAAATCACTTTGAAAAGGATAACAGAGAGAAAATAGTGCACTGTTTGAAAGGTGCTTAACCAGAAAGTGGACTGTGTTTAAATGAGTTGATGTAAAGAAATTCCAGTTGACGGTGCCCTTTAAGTTATTCCTCCTGTTCCTCAGGCTAATGCTTTTCCTAGCACAAAAACCAAAAGTTCGAGTTTTGCTTGTTTGTTTGTTTGTTTTTTAGAAAGGTGTTGCATGCCTGCAGTGACTTTTGAGTTCAACATGATGTGGCCATTAAGTACCTCCAAAAAACAGAAACATGGAGATGGGGGGGGGGGAGTGGAAGAATAACATGAGAGGGGAAATTCTCATTGCTGAGATAGAGAATATTCTTAATAGGGCCGTTAATGCATGTGATTAAAAAATAATTGACTAATCTCTTTTAATCACACTTAAACAATAGAATACCAATTGATGTTTATTAAATATTTTTGATATATTGATTTCAGTTACAATACAGAACTGCTCACTTTATATTATTTTATTACAAACATTTGCATTGTAAAAATTATAAAGAAATAGTTTTCAGTTCATACAAGTTCAACTTAGTTCATTCAGTTCCTGCAATCTCTTTATCGTCAAAGAGTAACTTACAGATGTAGATTTTTTGTTAAATAACTGCACTCAAACCCGAAACAAAATGTACATACACTTTAAAGCCTACAAGTCCATTCAGTCTTATTTCTTGTTTAGCCAATCGCTAAGACAAACAAGTTTGTTTACATTTATAGGAGACAATGCTGCACACTTCTTATTTACAATGTTGCCTGAAAGTGAGAACAGGTGTTTATAGGGCCCTTTTGTAGCTGGGGTTGCCAGGTATTTATGCGCCAGATACACTAATGTCCCTTCCTGCTTCAGTCACCATCCCAGAGGATATGTCTCCATTCTGGCGATGCTTGTTTAAAAAAAAAAGTGTTAAATTAAATATTGACTGAACTCCTTGGGGGAGAATTGTATGTCTCCTACTCTGTTTTACATGAATTCTGCCATGTATTTCATGTAATAGCAGTCTTGGATGATGACCCAGCACATGATTGTTTTAAGAACACTTTCACTGCAGATTTGACATGCAAAAAAAGTACCAATGTGAGATTTCTAAGGATAGCTACAGCACTCAACTCAAGGTTTAAGAATCTGAAGTACCTTCCAAAATCAGAAAGGGACAAGGTGCAGAGCAATACTGCACTATGCACCCCCCTGCGATCGCCCCCCCAAAAGAAAATCAGTCTTCTGCTGGTAGCATCTGATGAAAGTGAACATGCATCAGGCCACATTGCTTTGGATCATTGTCAAGCAGAACCCATCGTCAGCATGGATTCATGTCCTGTGGAAAGATGGTGGAAGCATGAAGCAAATGAATCCTTAGTGCATCTGGCATGTAAATATCTTATAAAATCAGCTATGATAGTGCCATGAGAATGCCTGTTTTCACTTTCAAGTGACACTGTAAACAAGAAGTGGGCAGCATTATCTCCTGCAATTGTAAACAAACTTGTTTGTCTGAGTGCTTGACTGGACAAGAAGTAGGACTGAGTGGACTTGTAGGCTCTAAAGTTTTACATTGTTTTCTTTTTGAGTGCAGTTTTTATATATGATTCTACATTTGTAAATTGAATTTTCATGATAAAGAGACTGAACTACAGTATTTGTATGAGATGAACTGAAAAATACTATTTTGTTTTTACAGCATCAGTATGTAATCAAAGATAAATATAGTGATCACTGTACTCTTTGTATTCTGTGTTTTAATTCAAATCAACCTATTTAAAAATGTAGAAAAGATTCAAAATATTTAAATAAACAGTATTCTATTACTGTTTAACAGCATAATGAATCACGTTTAATATTTTTAATCATTTGACAGCACCAGTTCTTAATTTAAATATTCCTTTATATAATCCTCCAAACCTCTCATGCAGCATTCAAAAGGGCTGGAGCGCACAAAATCTACTAGACTGTCGTCCCCCCTCTCCTCCCGCAAGGCTCTGGTGTGCAAGGGAAATGTGGAGAACCCTTTCCCATTGGGGACCGCCTCAATGAGAGGTGGTTTTTTTCCGCTTCTCACTTGTGTGAAGCCCCCTGACTGACTTTTTTGTGGGTCAGCAGCCCCTGACCCAAACAAGGTTGCCCATCCTTGTTTTAACCACTGGGCCACTTGTCTTTCAGGATATATTGCTCTTGGTGCAAACACTGTTTTCACTGGCCTATAGAACTGCAGTGGTAGAACATGATGGTCTCCCAAGGAACGTAATCACAACAAGCACGTACGCACATCTACAGATAAAGCACACTCCAGGACTTGATGCAGCAAAGACAAAACTAAGTCTGTAAGAGAGACTTCTCCATTCTCTTTCTCCTGGCCACATGCTGCTTCACACTTCATCTTCTCCCTACTTTTCCACTGCCTCTTCCTCCCCTCTTGCTTTTCCCCCCAAGCTCCTATCTACTTCATCATGCACACTTCTGCCTCATCATACCCACAACTTTCACCCTCTGCTGTCTTGTCTATATTATCTATAAGCTCTTTAGGGTAGGAAAAAGTCTCTTACCCCCTTTAGATTTATGTTAAAAAATGACATTTTCTATAATCTGCTCTGCCCTTAGAGCAAGACTGAGTGGTATGGCCCTGGAAGCTGACAGTGTTGGGATCCCTATTCTAGGGTGCCCCGACACTTTTTAAATGCACTATTATCGACATCTATAATTCCCCAACAAAATCTAGATTCCTATTCCTTTCTCACATTGCACCCTTTCACCATCATCATAATTGTCCCTCACCAAAAGCAGGAAAAAATGACAGGCTTTGCAGCATGCCCCAAAGACATAGCATTAGGATATTTTGAATGAAAATATTTCCACTGAGGTCAGTGGGCACCAGCCTCTTATCTTGTATCATGAGCTCAAAAGTGGCTTTACTAACCAAGTAGGACATGAGAAGGGAAAGGTAATTTCACAAATAAGGAAGCCATCTTTGCCACCAATCATTCTCTTAACAGACTTCTCAGTATTGGCTTTCTCAGTTTCAACTGCTTCCTCCAGTAATAACTGAGAGGTGTTTAATGCACCTGGTGACTATCATTCTTGCCAACAGTGAAACATTTTACTTGGTCACTGTAGTCCATTCACTCATGGGATATTTTCTAATGACAGTCAGTTGGGGGTACTTGAAGTAACATTTTCTCCTGGGAAGAAAAATGAATACAAAAGGCCAGTATCTCATAATGTGAGTTGACATATTTTAGCCTAAATCCCATTTGTATCAAAGAGCTTTCTTTAAAAGCCTTGATTCGAGTGGAATTTGCTTTTGGAGTTGGAGAAAAGTGTTTGCAGCTGAAACTGATTGGGGTTCAGGTACTTGGTGACAGATGCAGCTTATTTGGGAGGAGAGAGGAGGGGGAATAAAAGAGGCTCTGGAAACAACTACTTTGTTCCTCTTTTTCAGGAGGCTCTTAGCCATTCTTTCTTTGTTTTTAAATACAGCTCTTGTTCTTATTCCTATCTCCCTATGCCATCCCCTAGCCCTCTTAATAGTTTTCTTTCCCTGGAGTTTTCCCCTTCTCTGGACCTGAGGCCCTGCAGTAGTCCCCTGGTACTCCCTGGTAGAGGCGGAAAACTCTTCTTGGGGGGAACTCCGCCGCCGAGGGCTCGTCGGCTGCCTCCCCGCCTGGCATGGTGCTCTATAGACTGGGATCAATTGTGCCTACTACACCCCTTGGGCTCTGGGGGCTTTGGGGCCGTCTACAAGGCTACTTACCGTGGGGAGACGGTGGCTGTGAAGCAGGTGAAGAAGTGCAGCAAAAACCGGCTGGCATCACGGCAAAGTTTCTGGGCTGAACTGAATGTGGCCCGCCTCCTCCATGACAATGTGGTACGTGTTGTAGCTGCCAGCACCTGTGCTCCTGCCAGCCAAGACAGCCTGGGCACCATAATCATGGAATATACTGGCCGCACTACCCTCCACCATGTCATCTATGGTATGGGCTGCCTGCGGGGAAAGGGAGAGGATGAATGGGATGGGTGTGGCAGAGAACCCCTAAGCATAACTGACTCCCTGGCTTATTGCTCTGACATTGTGACTGGTTTAGCCTTCCTCCACTCACAATGCATTGTGCACCTGGACCTGAAGCCTGCTAATGTGTTCATCACTGAGCAGGGTGTGTGCAAGATCGGAGACTTTGGGTGCTCCCAAAAGTTGGAGAATAGTGTGTCCCCAGGTCCCCAGCTTTGCCAGCAGGGGGGCACATATACCCACCGTGCCCCTGAGCTTCTCAAAGGGGAGAGGGTCACACCCAAAGCAGACATTTATTCTTTTGCTATCACCTTCTGGCAAATGGTTACCCGTGAGCAGCCTTACTCGGGTGAGCGCCAATATGTGCTCTATGCGGTGGTAGCCTATAACTTGCGTCCTTCTCTGGCTGCTGCAATCTTCTCTGAGACAGTCTCAGGCCAAAGACTTGAGACCATTATCAGTAGTTGCTGGAGATCTGATGCAGAGGAACGTCCCAGTGCAGAAATGCTGCTTCAAAGCCTCCATTCACTGCAAGATAGACAATAGCAGGTTCTGTGGTGTCTCTTTCTTCTTCTTTTTCCCTTTTATGCCTGGCTTTTCTCTTGATCCTTTTTGTGTGTGTGTGTGTGGCTGCATTAGCATATTGTGGATCTGACCTCTATTTTGTCCAAAGAGGTTAAAAAAAATGTACCTGTTGATTGAGATTTCTATAAATAAAGTGATTAAAATTAGCTTCGTCAGTGTTGAGGAAATACATAGAGGCAGGACTGTCCAAAATGTGTCTGCTATATCATCTGCCTTGCCCAGGAGAAAACAGAATTTTGGTTTTGAACTATGGTATTTGAGGGGTGAAGTATGACTGTTAAGCCACCAAAAAGCATTTTTATAAATGCCTCAGACCAGAGTGATAGGCATCTTGTAACAATCTAGCTAACTATTTGCAAAATGTGAGATGGAGGCAGTATTTTCAACTGCCTCTGAAAATCTCTTCATGTATCTGTCTATTGATAACCTTCCTTCTCATTCCCAATTCTCCCAACAGATACGGATCATACATCCTATAAGTAGATGTACCGAGAACAGTCAGACATTGAAGATAACCTTTCTTCCTCCACTTCCCCAAATGTCAATTCATTTTATGTGTGATGAGTTAGGAATAAGGATGTTGGGTCACTTGTGTGCCTGTTTAGCACCCTGGCAACAAAGTAAGATGGTTTTTCATCAATTTAAGTTCTTAAAGATAAACTGACTCTACAAATGCTGTATTAGCAGGTGTATTGAGTTAAGAAAAGGCTGCAGTGTTGCCAGCTGTTAAGGTGAATCTATTTGTGATGGTTTACTTAAAACACTGCCCCCTGAAGTCTATGGAAAATCACAGCTTTCACAAACTGCTAAAAAACTCTGAAAAGAAATAAAGAACCAAATACTTTAAAGCCAAACTCTTGATTTTTGGGGGGCCTGATCCACAACTTTTTAAATACTGGGGGTTGGCACTAAGGAAGACATTTTAGAACTGCTAGGAAGGAAGCTGCCCTAACAACATAACATTTTAGAGATATTCTAATTGGGGAAACTAGTACTGCTAGATTATCACACCTCCCCTGTGTCTTATCCATCTGTTGCATCTTGGCATAACCTGTGCTGAAAGCTTTCTGGGGGCAAAGGCTGACTCTACGAGTGTTTGCAGAGTGCCTAGAATAATGGTGTCTTGATACTGAATTGGGGTCACAATAACTGACACATTCTGGACGATTAGTGTTGTAAGACTTAATTGGAACTATGAAGACAGCTATAGTCTGTACTCTTTTAGGTCTTCTCTTCATAGCTCATTTTGGGAAGCTGGGAAGCTGTGGTTCAGTGCAATTTTGTTATTTCTCACTCATTTCCATTCCTTAAAGAATTAATGTATTACAAGTCAGAAAGTTACAGATTTGTTCACTTCTTATGAAGTATTGGAAATAGGTTCTTGTGATTTGGAGGTGGAAATGCTAATCTTCAATATGAAAATGTCTGTGGCTTGTTGATCACAGAATTTTGCATATTTAAAAGGTACTCCTAAATCTTCTACATAATATTTATTATTGAGGGCTTTGAGAAGCATACCGGCATGTAGAAAACTGTAAAAGTAAATATTAGACTTGATCTTCCATGTTTCTTGTTTCCTTCAAAACCTGCTTTATGGAGAGGTCATTGTGTGGCAATTTCACAGTGTACCATAATCACTTGCCCCATAATACTGTACAACTTAAATCGAGAGTCTTATGAATTTTAACATACTGTTACCATATTGAGTCGCATGGCTGTCTTGGAACTTAGTGACCAGAGTGCATTTAATGTAAAACCTAATTTAGAACAGCTAATCTTCACCAAGCTACTAATGGTCTGCAGACATAATGTTTTAAGCTAGTGACACCTAGTGTTCTGAATGTGAAACACCATAATAAGACTAATAGATCTCAGCTTCTACAGTAGTTTCTGGTATCAGACTGGGTTCCCTGGCACTAAGCACTGGACAAATGTTGTCTGTTTAGACAAGTCTTAAAAAGCAAAGTGTCCAGAGTGTAAAAGTATCAAGCTGGAAAAACAAACTTTTTGGGACTTAAGCAGCCTCCCCTCCCTCCCCCCAAAAATATTCTTAGCCAGTGTGGGGGGAGGGGGGTGAAGAAATCAGAAGCTAGAGCTATGATGGGGGGGCTGGACAAACATTTGAGCTTCCTGAACAGAAAGAGGGATCTGATAGCTATAAGAAATCTTAGGAATGAAGTGGCAAGATTCATTTACAGTATGGCTGCCTGGGGAAAGGATTCTGAGATGCTGCTGCAATTATGGGCTTGGTCACCAGGTTATTTTCAAATTGGTATTCTCAAATTGCCAGAGAGGTGAGACTATTGGGTGACTTAATCCAACCTCTCATTTCCTGAGAAGGTTGCTACTGGTTCCTTTTAAAGGGCTTCACTAGCTTTTGTAGAAACTTTGGGGGTGGCTTATAGCAGTTCTTTGTATAACTTTTCATTGGGATTTCCCCTCTATTGTCATATCTATGTTGGTGTGAACAACTGTACCCTGACCACAAAGTGATGCAATGACAACTTTGTCTCTGGCATCCTCTGACAGGATATATGTTTCAGTGTTATGTTTAAGATTTACACAGGAATACCTTTTGTCTGCCTCTGTTCTCCTTTGTTCCCAGCTTATCATATCCATACAAGTGAATAGCAAGTCATTTAAAACACTTAGTTCTGATAATCTGCTTCCCAAACTATGCCTCAAAATTATGGTCAATTATGTATTGATGAATTAGGGCTATAAAATAGCTCTTCACTTAATTTTTGTAGGCTAACTGCAATTAAACGTAATCAGTTGTATTAATTATTATCAATGTTAAATACTATCAATGGAATCCATAAGGGTCAAAACCTTAATATGACTTCATAGACATTCTCAGGAATTTGTTTCCAATGTTGTCCTTAGTTTGACAAACACACATCTATAAATAATGCATCTGTAATGTGGATGAATAATCTCATATGCAGAGAATATGGTTAATATGAGTGTGCTTCGTAGAATTTTCTGCTCAAGTATCCCTAACAATTTAGTGTAATTAGAGGGCAAGGTCTGCAAAGCAGATCTGTAGCATAAAGAAGCCTAAGCAGAACACTGGGATGACAGAATTTTCTTTCTGAAACTTTTTAGGAAAAAGTCAAGATGCAACTCAGAAACAGATTTTATTTAATCCTAGTACTGTCAAGTTAAAATTTCAACAAACATGATATGTGGAAAGTGTCATGATATGTGATCAAGTGTCAACACACCAGTCAGGAGAACTCTGGGCATGTTTTGGATCAAAACGAAAACTCTTCTCAGTCTCAAGGCTTTTTGTTTTTGGTTTTTAATTTTCCCTCTTTGAACCAGCCCTTTAGAGCTGGGAAATACTCCAGATTTCAGGTGTCAACTTGATCCACCAAGTGATCAGCAGAAAAAAGAAAAAGATTGCTGCTGTCTGAGTTACCTTGACCTGCAAAGACAAATATATAAGGGAAATGAGAATGGATGGAAGAAGAGATTAAATTGGAAATGGAGTGTCTGAATTTTAGAGAGGAAAGGTGAGTGTGGTTGTGGGGTTTTTTGTTTGTTTTTTAATTGGACCAACTTGTGTTAGAGAGAGAAGCTGTTGTCATCCGAAGGCACTTCTTGAACTGAGAGCTTGGTACCATCTCCACTATAAAGGAGAACTTGTCTTACACCAACAGAAATTGGTACAGTAAAAGATATAACCTCACCCACCTTATTTCTCTAATACCATGGGGCCAACACTGCTACAACCACACTGAATACAACTGTTTTTGTTACTTTATTTTGAATTGGTCTTCTGTAGCTATTGGTGAAGCTTTGTTTGCAAACAAAATGTAGGCATCTTTTTGGGGGTAGAGATTTTTTGTGTGAAGTTCTATGCTCACTTGTGAATTCAGTTGGACTACTCATGTCTAAAATTAAGCTTGTACAGAAATGTATGCAGGATTATGGTCGTAGGTTACCCATCAACTCTCCCATATGTAACTGGAAATGTAATAGGGCTAAGTTGGGGAAACAATGAATATTTTATTTATAAAATGTTCAAAGGCAAATTATTTCATCTGTTCCTGCCATAAATATCCTATGCCATCCTTGTCACACCTCTGCACTTCTGTTATCCTCACCATAAAATAGGGGTTGGTTTGTTTGTCAGTTCAGGCAAGAAGTGGGCAAAAGTCTACTTGCTCCTAGCCCAATGCTCTATCTAAAACATGGAATATTTTGATAGGAAAGGCAAGATCAGATCCTAAATTTCCCAGAGCACATTAGAGTTGTAAAGCAGCCCAGCCTGACAGAGTTCAATGGTCCAAATATTCTGCTAAGGAGTAAACAGTTGCACTTGTTTGTGCAGTGTTTCTCAACCAGGAGTACATGTACCCTTGGAAGACCACTGGATACATCAATTTGTCTATAAACTTGCCTAGTTTTACAACAGACTACATAAAAAGAACTAGCAAAATCAGTGCAAACTAAAATTTCATACAGATACTGACTTGTTTATACTGCTCATGTATAGTTCATTCTATACACTGATCTGTAAGTACAATACAGGCAGTCCCCGAGTTACGCGGATCCGACTTATGTCGGATCCGCAGTTACGAACGGGCCCTCCCTCTCCCTGGTCTCCAGCAGACCAGGGAGAGGAAGCAAAGCTGCGGAGCACGCGGCCAGCTCAGACGCGTCTGGGCTGGCCGCTGCCCGCGTGTTCCGCGGCTTTGCTCCCCGTCCCGCTGGCCTGCAGACCAGGGGGACGGGGAGCAAAGCAGAGCAAAGCGGCGGAGCCCGAGGGCAGCAGGATAGCCACGGCGCGTCTGGGCTGTCCTGCTGCCCCCGTGCTCCGCGGCTTTGCTCCGGACACCTGTGGTACAGCAGCTGGGGCGCTGCCGGTTGGTCCCGTAGCGCGTGTTCCGCGGCTTTGCTCCCCGTCCCGCTGGCCTGCAGACCAGGGGGACGGGGAGCAAAGCAGAGCAAAGCGGCGGAGCCCGAGGGCAGCAGGATAGCCACGGCGCGTCTGGGCTGTCCTGCTGCCCCCGTGCTCCGCGGCTTTGCTCCGGACACCTGTGGTACAGCAGCTGGGGCGCTGCCGGTTGGTCCCGTAGCGTCGCTCTGGGCGCTACTGGACCAACCCAGCAGCACCCCAGCTGCTCTGCCCCAGGTGTCC